CCTCGGGAGACCACTCCGCCGGGAGCTCCGAGAGTTGATCACCGAGCGCGTTTCCACCACTCGCAGAGTGCCTGCTCGCAAACGTCCGAGATGTAGTCGATTGCAACGTGCTCGCAAACTACTCGCAAGAGTGCCTGCTCGCCTGCTACACGTCTGCGTGGATGTAGTTTCTCGTAGATCCCCCGCGGGGGAGCCAGGCCACTTGGGAGTAATTACTACTTTGCGAGTAGTGGAACGCGCTCTTCTAGTTAAGTCGGGCCTGTCCTTCTACATGGGGAATATTGAAGATCATCAGCAAATAGTCGGGGGACGATTTTCCGTGTCTGTTAGCCCACTTATGTTTGGTGCATGTTTGGACTATGTCTTGATTGTTCCTCCAAGACCCGCCTGTCGGAGGACATGCCCGACCTCAGCGTTGCGACGGGGGTCAGTGCAAACGGGGTCGGCCGGAGCGCCCCGACCTTGCAGGACCCTGCAGGGGGCCCAGGGCCGCCTTGACCCGGGCCGGGGTGCAGGATCCTGTTGGAGTTTGCAGGTGCCTTCGCATTGACCCGGGCTTGGGTGCAGGATCTTGCGGGATCCTGCGGGGCCCGACTGGCCCGGGTGTGGATGGACCCCGGCCAGGAAGAGCCCCGATTCCGTCGTGCCGGCCCCCGAGTCCCTGGGAAGGCTCGCGCCCGTGACCCCCCGACCTGGAGCCTATGGCGACGCCCTTCTGCGCCCGAGCGGCTCAAGGAGGCGCCGTGGGCGGGAGCGAAGGCGCACGACTCGGCGGCGCAGCCCGAGCCCGACCCTCGCCGAGCAGCGACGCGGGCAGCTCGAGGGGCGGCGGGGGGCGGCCTCGGGACTCGTCGACGGCGTGGCGACAGTCGAGCTCCAGTCGCACCCCCGCCTCCCCCGGGGAAGGGGCGAGGAGGAAGAGGGCAGAGGAGGGCGGAGGAATCGACGCGGGGGTGGTGTCTACTCTTGGGGCCCGCATTCAGGAGGGTCCATGTCTTGTGTGGGGGCAGGGTGCGGACGTGGCCCCCAGGTGGAGGAAGGTGGACTGCACAGGCGAGACTCTGATGGAAGGAACGCTCCGGGTTCGCAGGGACTCGCTGTTCCACTGGGTCCTTCCACGGCAACTCCTCCAGTGCTCCAGCGCTCCCCGTCGTGCGCCCAGGCGCTTAAAGGGGGGCCGAACGGCGACATCGCTCCCCATATCCGCCGCTCCCTGCCGTGGCAGCTCCCCGCGGCCCACGCGCTGCAGAGGCGAGGGGGGGGGGGAGGGCCCCAGCCCTTCCCCCGCCTCGAGGGCCCTGCCGCGCGGCGCCGCGACAGCTGCTCCTCTCCGCGGGCGGGGCGCCCGGAGGCACGCTGCCGCCGTGCCCGGCCGGGTGGGGCCAGGCTGGCCCCCCCCCTCCCCCCCCCCCCCCGCCCAGGACGGTGTGCAAAACCTCCTCCTCCTCCTCCCTCCTCCTCCTCCTCCTCCTCCTCCTCCTTCTCTCTCTCCTCCTCCTTCTCCTCCTCCTTCTCCTCCTCCTCCTCCTCCTACTCCTCCTCCTCCATTTCTTTCCTTATAAATCAGAGTGAGGGGGCCGAGCGGTCATTCATTGTCCCTGGGTGCGTGGCTGAACCGAATCCGTGCTGAGGGTTTTATGCTTGTTGCCTTGGTGTTGTTGTTGTTGTTGTTGTTGTTGTTGTTGGTGGTGGTGGTGGTGGTGGTGGTGGTGGTGGTGGTGGTGGTGGTGGTGGTGGTTGTGGTGGTGGTGGTGGTAGTGGTGGTGATGGTGGTGGTGGTGGCATTGTTGTTGACCTTTCATTTCTGAAGAATAATTATTGTTGATCCTCCCAACAGGTGCATACCGTTTTTTCTGAACCAAAGTGTGTCCCTCGACGCTCGCACCTTGTTTTTTATAAGGGAAAGTCTTGAGGCTCAAACTAGGCCCCTGGCCCCCGGGTTACAACAACAACGGCTCCCGCGTGAGTTCCTTCACAATTTAGCCAGGACCCCACTCCCACCCGAAACTTCCTCGCATTGTATTCAGGAATCGCGCTCTCGCTTGGGACTTCCTTACAATTTATTTAGACATCGCTCTCCCGGCGCTTTTTTAGTCCCGCTCTCGCTGGAGACTTGCTTGCAATCTACTGACGAATTGCGCCCTTGCGTTGGAATTTCTTGCAATCTACTCCAGCGCTACGCTCCCGACACCCAGGCACCCAGGAGTCGCGCTCACGCTTCGGACTCCCTCACAGATTACCTAGGAATCGGAATGTCGCTGCCCTTCGTGGCCCCGTTGCAGCCCTTTCTGGCCCCCTCGCTTTGTTTCGTGGCCCCGTTGCAGCCCTTCGTGGCCCCCTCGCATTGTTTCGTGGCCCCGTTGCAGCCCCTCGTGGCCTCCTCGCTGCCCTTCGTGGCGCCGTTGCAGCCCTTCGTGGCCCCCACGCTTTGTTTCGTGGCCCCGTTGCAGCCCTTCGTGGCCCCCTCGCTGCCCTTCGTGGCCCCGTCGCAGCCCTTCGTGGCCACGTTGCAGCCCTTCGTGGCCCCCTCGCTGCCCTTCGTGGCCCCGTTGCATCCCTTCGTGGCCCCCTCGCTGCCCTCCGTGGCCCTATATATGCATGCCCTCCGTGGCCCCCGCTCGTTTGCGCCCGTGGTGGCCCTATATATGCATGCCCTTCGTGGCCCCGCTGTCGCCCTTCGTGGCCCCCTCGCTGCCCTTCGTGGCCCCGTCCTTGCCCTCCGCGGCCCTGTATACGTATGCCCTTCGTGGCCCACGCTCGCTCGCGCCCCCTGTGGCCCCATGTGCATGCCCTTCGTGGCCCCGCTGTCGCCGTTTGTGGCCCCCTCACTGTCCTACGTGGCCCAGTTGCTACCCTCAGTGGCCCCATCGTTGCCTTCTGTGGCCCCGCATTATCCGCCCTTCGTGGCCCCCGCTCGTTCGCGCTCTTCGTGGCCTTATACGCATTCCCTTCGTGTTCCCGCTGTCGCCCTTCGTGGCCTACTTCGTGTTCTTGTGGCCCTGCTGTCGTTCCCTCTCGCTCTCGCTTTCGCTCGTCGTCGCCGTCGTCGTCGCCGTCGTCGTCGTCGCCGTCGTCGTCGACGTCGTCGTCGTCGTGGTCGGGGTCTCCTGTCCGTCCCTCTTGGGGTCTGGTCGATGGTCCGTGGCCGCCCCGCCGATCAGCGCTGCCTCTGGCCAGGCCGACGGTCCGGGGCCGCCCCGCCGCTTGCCGGGGCCCGGTCTGCAGGGAAGAAAGTTATACCCCCCAAAAGGAGTTCGGTCGAAGATGAAGAGGGCGGGTCTCGAGGGTTTGGGACATACGCGTTATTGGACTCTCGAACAGATAAGGGCGAACAGTCTTAAAATGATTGTTGGTGTTGTCGTTGTTGATGTTGTTGTTGTTGCTGTTGCTTTTGTTGTTGGTGGTGTTGTTGTTGTTGCTGGTGTTGTTGGTGTTGTTGTTGTTGTTGTTGTTGTTGTTGCTGTTGTTGTTGTTGTTGCTGTTGTTGTTGTTGTTGATTGTTGTCGTCGTCCCCCCCGCGACCCACTCCGCGACCCACCCCGCGACCCACCCCGCGACCCACCCGCGACCCAACCCGCGACCCACCCGCGACCCACCGGGCGACTCACTCGCGACCTACCCAGCGACCCGCCCGCGTCCAAAGCGACTCACCCGCGACCCACCCCGCGACCCATCCGCGACCCAAACGCGACCCAGCCGCGACCCACTCGCGACCCACCTGCGACCCACTCCGCGACCCACCAGCGACCCACCCCGCGACCCACCCGCGACCGATCCACATTGGTTAAAAGAAAAAATTGGCGTCTGCGGCGGGCTCGTTGTGTAACTTGTAATATGCGGCGCCTGCGGCGGGTTTCTCCGGAATCTCGCAGACTGCCGACATCCCCACCGACCCCTAGATTCTCCCTGTCGCACCCCGAGGCCTGTTTTTAGGGCGGGCCGGGCGTTTCGCCTGAGACTTCCTCACCATTTGTGACCATGAAGCTTAAACGTTGACAACAGTTCCACATATGGGGGGCGCGTTTTTTTCCAAAATGTTGCTCTCGCCGTAGTGCCGCGCACATTCGTTTTACAAATTTAAGAGCTTCACGGATTGAGGGCGGGTGATTTTCAAAATGTGGTTCTCGCTTCAGCGCCGCGCGCAGTCACTTCATTGAGGGCGGGTGGTTTTCAAAGTGTGGCTCTCGCCTTAGCGCCGCGCGCATTCGCTTTGAACATTTGCAAGAGCTTCAAGGATTGAGGGCGGATGGTTTTCAAAGTGTGGCTCTCGCCTTAGCACCGCGCACATTTGCTTTAGACATGTGCAAGAGTTTCAAGGATTGAGAGCGGTTCCTTTTCAACCTGAAGTTCGCTCTGTATCACCGCGCGCATTCTTTTTCAAATGTACAAGAGCTTCGCAGATTCCCATGATCAAAAAAAAACAGAAATGGCGTGCTGGAAAGATCCAGAATTTATGATGGTGCAACACTTACGCTGATTCGTGGTGCTGTAGTCCCCGGGAATTGGCGATCAGGCACGATTCAAGATCGTCAAGACGCAACAGTCAAGTTGATGCGTGGCGTTGGAATCCAGAACAATGTTTCGGCATGCTCCAGGTTGTTCAAACGGTTGTCTTCCAACGAGGCAGTTCCCTCAGTGGAAATGAACCGTTGCAGAAGCCTCTGAAGAGGGAGCTTGGAGGGAGGGTTTATTCCAAAATCTTTGGTGACCTTCGGGTTCCCACTGGTTCGCGCCATGCCAGTGCCATAGCACAGCGGTGGTGGTGCGCGGGCGCCCTCTGCGCACCTCGCCTCCTCCCCGAATCATTCTCCGCCGCCTCCGCGGCCGCCGCCGGTTCGCGGCCCGCAGGCCCTCGGCATGAGGTCCTGGATGATGTGGATCAACAGATCGTGGGGGCAAGCAGTCTAGTGCTGCGAAGGCTGCGAGTACACGATTCGGCGGGATCTGGGGTTTGTTCGTTCCTTCGCTCGCTCCTCAGTGGCCGCTGGCATCAGCAGGAGAACCCCGAGTCGAAGATCTTCGTGCTGCTGCTGTCGCTCGCCGAGTCCGCCTCCGGGACGAACCTCACAGCGGAGCCCCCTTGGGGCATGGCAGAGCGCGTGTCGCGGGCAGGGGCGGCTGGATGGGAAGGCACGCAAGTTGCCGCTAGTCTCGCAGCGATCATGCAAAGCCCAGCAATGCTAGCCCTTGAACTATAAGGGGGGGCTCCTCCCCGTCCTTTCGCGGGGGGGGGGGAGGGGTAACATCGTTTCCTTCCCCCGCGGCCGCGGCGCCTCCGGAGGTGCGGCGTTTCAGCTGTTGTTGCCAGTGTGATTCGCGTGATGTCGTGAGAGTGGTTCCTGTGATCTTGGGCCGCTCAAGCATTTACGAGTATTGTCCTCAGCGTTTTTTTGAATTTAGACGCCCATTACTAAGTCACGGACGTTGTCGCTAGTCTAGCATCGAATGCATGTCGCCGCTTAGCGCCAACAAGCGCCCAATGACGCCCTATAGCGCCATGTTTGGGAGATGCGTTGAGTTTGCATCGCACGCTTCTTGACTTCATGGGACTCGCTATCGGGTGCTTTGTCAGGGCGGGCCACGAAGTGTACGTTCCAGACGATGCCAGCCTTCATGAAACGAAGAAAAACAACGGCATGACCAAGCACAAGCTTGCGGCGGTCCCAGCGCCGCCCCAATCGCACTCCGCGCGTCAGGGAGGAGGGTCCAGCGCCGATCCAAGGGATCTGCTCGAATCTCCGACAGGTGTATGCTTGCGCACTTTTGTCTTTTAATCGAATGGAGTGGAAGCATTAGGAGATGTTTGTTTCCCCCGACGACCCCAGGCACACATCCAGCGTCCTGCGAAGCCCGACATCGACGGAACAGTGTGCCTTTGGACTTCTTGTAGCAAGGTTCCTTGACGCACGCACCCACCCCAGTCATTCGACGTCACGTCTCGATTGTTCAATAAGGGGTCCTCGGATATCCCGACCCCTCCCCTGGGGCAGTTGTTTCATCCCGAGTCGTTTTTTGACGGTCCTGGGGCCGGGGCCCGCAGACGCCGAAAGCACCCCAGAAAATCTCGTCGTGATTCTGTTCACGGCTCGAGCATGTTTGGAACGATTGCGCCCCCCCGCGAAGGCAGCATCCGAAACGACCGTCAGGCTGCGCAGCCGTGCGCCTGACGAAGGCGCGAAACGTCGCTTCAGCGCCGGCACGCCCGCGGCGTCCGACTTGCGATCGTGGCGCCCCATTCACCGAGCGGGTTTCAATACTCGCAAAGTGCCTACTCTCGACTAGACGTAAGAGTGACCTTTCGCCGGAGTGACCTTCGGTGCGGGCCAAATGGGGCCCCCCGATCGCCGAACGCTAGGCGGCAGTGGCGTCGTGCGCGCTTGTGGTTGGCCCCCCCATGGCCCCCCAAAAGCCGCGCACCAAAGGTCACTCTTGCCCAGGGTCACTCTTGCGTGGAGCCCATACTCGCGAACGTCCGACAACAAAACAAGTCTTCCTTTATGTAGTGGATCGTAAACCGCCCGCGCCGGATCCAGGCCGTTTGCGAGTAGCAACTTTGCGAGTAGTGGAACGCGCTTGTCGAACTCAGGTCTCTGGGGCCGTCAAGTGATGGCGTTTGGGCGGTCTTGGGATGCTCTGATGGGTTATGGGGCCGTCTCGGGACTCCGAGGACTGCGAGCTGAGACCACGGTAATTCGTGTTGGCCGTCGGGCGGCCCCCCGTTGCCACGGGCTGGGCGCAGCTCCAAACGCTGGTGCGACTGGTCCCCAGCATGGGGTCGGGTGACCGATTTGCCGTGCCGTTCTTCGGCCTTCTCCCACGGACGGGCCCTGGGCAGTCCCAGGGGGGGGGGATCTTTGGGCCGTCCTGGAGCTGCCTTTGGTGGTCGGTCTCGGGGTGTCGTGGGGCACCTCACAGCCTGCGACGGCGCTGTCTAGGGTCCAGGCGTCCCGGCGGAGGCGCGGCATGCCGTCTGGAGAAAGCAGCAGCACAGCAGCAGCCGCAGAGCGCTGGGCTCTGGATCCTCAAGACGCCTTCTCGCTGGATCCCCGAGGGCGTCGACGACGATGGCGGCGACGGCGGCGACAAGAGCAGCAGCGACAGAACCACGAGAGCGACCGCGACGACCACGAGAGCCACGGCGACGAGGCCCGCGACGGCGAGGGCGCCGACGACGAGACCGATACCGCTGCACTTCCCTCGTTTTCGCCTTTTTGGGCCTCCTGGGAGGCCCTCGTCGCCACCGCTGGATTCGACTCGAAATCCTGGTCAGAGCGCACCCAGGGAGAGGTCGAGGGAGTATCGGTATCGGTGCCTTCTGGTTTCCACAGACACGTACCGTGCTCAAAACGTCTGTCAATACGTTGCGTTGTGGCTCAACGTATTGGCCCACGTTTTAGTGAACTTATCGCGTCATACATGCATTTGCAGTCTACTTACTCGTTGAGTTTCGTATCAATACGCTACGTGTTGCGTGTTGCGTATCGGGGCAGCTAGGGGGCAAACAAATCATTAAGAGGATTAAAACAGACTGACATCGTCACCCTTCCTGTTTTCCCCTCTTTCGGCCTCCCGGGAGGCCCTCGTTGCCACCTCCGCATTCGCTTCGGAATCCTGGTCAGAACGCACCCCAGGAGAGGTCCGAGGAGTTACCGGTACCTTTTCGTTTCCCTGGTCATGGGCAACGACATGGGGGCATTAGGCACAGGTGGGGTGCATCGAGCTCCAATCGCCTTCGGATCGACGATGGGGGCCCGGTAGCCCACCACGCGCAGGAACCTGCGGATACGCTGTCGGGGGGCCTATCGCCGATCTATCGGCGATGTACCGCACGTGGCTAGGACGTGGATGAATTTCTTCTCAGAGCATTACGCTCCGGGAGGGCCGCGGCGCCCGAGACATCCTCAAGAGCCGCCATATCTCAGAGGTTCTCGATTTATCCCCACCCGATGTTATTATCGTAATGTATCGTCGATTCCAGCTGGACGTTTGCCCCTCTGAGCCCCCGCCCCCTAACGCTGTCTCCGGCGATGCTTGCTTGAGGCTTCGTCATTGGTCCTAAACGTACCCTTGCCCGGGGTCGGCCTGGGTGGAAAAGGTCGTCCGCTGAATTGGGCGCTTGCCACTGCGACCGATCAGCCTGCCGCGTGCGTACTGGTTCAGCATCCGCGCGTCAGGACGCAAGGACGCGCTGAACGTCTGGTTGTTTGATTTCAGCGACATGCTCTGGTTTGCATCAGGGACGTCTGTGGGCATCGGGGGGGTGTTTGCGGGGTTCAGAACAACATTGGAGTGGTGGTGCCTGTCCCATTTGGGGGACAGGCACCACCGCTCCGTTGCGGTCAGGCCTGCCCGCAGGAGCGTCGTCGCAGTCTCACGCTCCACCGGGGGCCGCTGCGGCCGCGGTCGGGAGCGCTCTCGGGGGCCGCGTGCGCGTCCGAGAGCGACTTCGACCAAACGCCACCCAGACGACGTACGGGTGCCTGTCCGGGGGCACCATCAACGCGCGTCGGCGACCGTGCCCCCCGACGCGTGCCGGGAACTAGCTGGGGTGACGCCAGGCGGGTTTTCCAGGGAGCAGCCCTTGGCGACCGCGCCCAGCGTTCGTGGCCCCATGCGTTTGGAGCGAGCGCGAGATTGCAGCGGCGTCCGCCCAGGACACCCAGGACGCATTTTGCGCGACGAGCCCCAAAACGCTTGATTGTGCGTTCGTGGGCGCACTTCCGAACGAGCTAATCTAGCCCGAAAGCGACCAATGCGTGGTCGGCCAGTGTGCCGATTGGAGCGCGCGCGCCTTCGGTGCCAGCGGATGCCCAGAGAAGACAGCGTCCTGTAATGTCCCATGGGCCGTCGCATCTGCACTTGTGCAACCGCCGTCGGCTGCGGCGCGTCGCCCCCCCCCCTTTGCCACCCCGCCTGGGTAGGAGTACGGGTATCGCTCGCGCTCGAGAATCGTTGTCTCTCGCTTGCAGAAATTCGATTGAGTATTTGGTTCCGTAGGCATTGGTCTAAATAGGCTTTTTATCTAACAGCGAAGACTGATAGGTTTCTAGTGGCCCCAAAAGAGAGCACCATGACTCCCCAGGGGGGTCTGGGCAGATGCCAGACGGGTGCCAAGGGAATCCCGGGAGTGCCGCGGGAATTCGAATTTTTAAAAAGAAAATATTAGCCCACTTCGTGGTCTTCGATTTCCCAGAACTCCATTCCTGGGCATGATTCTGAATGCCCAGAGCCAACTGTAGGCCACTTCGTGTTCTTCGAGTTCCCCGAACTACATTCCTGGGCATGACTTTGAATACCCGAAGCCAACTGTAGGCCACTTCGTGGTCTTCGAGTTCCCAAAACTCCATTCCTGGGCATGATTTTGAATGCCCGGAGCCAACTGTAGGCCACTTCGTGGTCTTCGAGTTCCCAGAACTTTATTCCTGGGTATGATTTTGAATGGCCAGAGCCAACTATAGGCCACTTCGTGTTGTTCGAATTCCAAGAATTCATTCCCGGGCTTCCTTTTGAATGCTGAGGCAGGCTGATGTTGAGGCTGAGGCAGGCTGATGCTGAGGCAGGCGGAGGCTGAGGCCGAGGCTGAATGCAGACTGAGGCTGAGGCTGAAGCAGGCTGAGGCTGAGGCTGAGGCAGGCTGAGGCTGAGGCTGAGGCAGGCTGATGCTGAGGCAGGCGGAGGCTGAGGCTGAGGCTGATGCAGGCTGAGGCTGTGGCAGGCTGAGGCTGAGGCTGAGGCTGAAGGCAGACTCAGGCTGAGGCTGAAGCAGGCTGAGGCTGAGGCTGAGGCTGAGGCAGGCTGAGGCTGAGGCTGAAGCAGGCTGAGGCTGAGGCTGAGGCTGAGGCAGGCTGAGGCTGAGGCTGAAGCAGGCGGAGGCTGAGGCAGGCTGAGGCTGAGGCCGAGGCTGAAAGCAAACTGAGGCTGAGGTTGAAGCAGGCTGAGGCTGAGGCTGAGGCAGGCTGAGGCTGAGGCAGGCTGAGGCTGAGGCTGAGGCTGATGCAGGCGGAGGCTGAGGCAGGCTGAGGCTGATGCAGGCTGAGGCTGGGGCCGAGGCTGAGGCAGGCTCAGGCTGAGGCTCAAGCAGGCTGAGGCTGACGCTGAGGCAGGCTGAGGCTGAGGCTGAGGCTGAGGCTGAGGCAGGCAGGCTGAGGCTGAGGCTGAAGGCAGGCTGAGGCTGAGGCTGAGGCTGAGGCCGAGGCTGAAGGCAGACTGATGCTGAGGCTGAATCAGGCTGAGGCTGAGGCTGAGGCAGGCTGAGGCTGAGGCTGAGGCAGGCTGATGCTGAGGCAGGCTGAGGCTGAGGCTGAGGCTGAGGCTGATGCAGGCTGATGCAGGCTGAGTCTGAGGCAGACTGAGGCTGAGGCCGAGGCTGAAGGCAGACTAAGGCTGAGGCTGAGGCTGAGGCAGGCTGAGGCTGAGGCTGAGGCAGGCTGAGGCTGAGGCTGAGGCAGGCTGATGCTGAGGCAGGCTCAGGCTGAGGCTGAGGCTGAGGCAGGCCCAGGCTGATGCAGGCTGAGGCTGAGGCCGAGGCTACAGGCAGACTGAGGCTGAGGCTGAAGCAGGCTGAGGCTGAGGCTCATGCAGGCTGAGGCTGAGGCTGAGGCTGAGGCTGAGGCGGGCTGATGCTGAGGCAGGCTGAGGCTGAGGCTGAGGCTGATGCAGGCTGAGGCTGAGACTGGCTGAGGCCGAGGCTGAAGGCAGACTGAGGCTGAGGCTGAAGCAGGCTGAGGCTGAGGCAGAGGCAGGCTGAGGCTGAGGCTGAGGCAGGCTAATGCTGAGGCAGGCTGAGGCTGAGGCTGAGGCTGATGCAGGCTGAGGCTGAGGCAGGCTGAGGCTGAGGCCGAGGCTGAAGGCAGACTGAGGCTGAGGCTGAAGCAGGCTGAGGCTGAGGCTGAGGCAGGCTGAGGCTGAGGCAGGCTGAGGCTGAGGCTGAGGCAGGCTGAGGCTGAGGCTGTGACTGCGACTGCCGTTGCCACTGCGACTGTCATCGCGAATGCGACTACGACTGCGAGAACAGCAGAATTCTACAACTGGATGCTCATCTGAATCTTAAGGGGAATGCTTCCAGATATGCTCCTACACATCGCTGTTAGGTTGCTTTGCCGGGATAATGTTTTCGTATGTTTGCTTCAGTGTCTGGGAAGAGAGATCATGGATGTGATGGCCTCCTCTTAGCCCTATTCTGTCTCGGCGCGTTCGGCTGTGATTCGGAGGAGGAGGAGGCCCAGAAGGCTCCAGGAGGCCCCAAGAGGCCCCAGGAGGCCCCAGGAGGGGGCAGGAGGCTTAAGGAGGAGGCAGGAGGAGGAGGAGGAGGAGGAGGAGGAGGAGGAGGAGGAGGAGGAGGAGGAGGAGGAGGCGGGGGGCGGCCAGGGCAGCCACGTGATCTTCCTGCACCCCATGCTGGCCGCGCGGCCAGAGCGGGCCGCGGCCCAGGAGCTCCAGGCCTTGCTGGATGCGTCGGCGTCGACGCCGCCCTCATTAGTCGTCGTCGTCGTCGTTTTCGTAAACGTCGTTGTTTGTCGTCTTTCGTCCTCGTCCCGTCTGTCGTCGGTCCTCGGTCGTCGGTCGTCGTCTGTCCTCTGTCGTCGGTCGTGGTCGTCGTCGTCGTCGTTTTTGGTCGTTGTCGTCGTCTGTCGTCGGTCGTCGTCGTCGTCGTCGTCATTTTTGGTTGTCGTTTGGCGTCGGTCGTCGTCTGTCGTCTGTCGTCTGTCGTCTTTCGTAATCGTCTGTCGTCGTCGTCGTCCGTCGTCGTCGTCGTCGTCCTTGGACGTCCGTCGTCGATGAGGGAATTGGAGGGGGAAGGACAGGGTGGGAAAGAGAAGAGGAGGGTAGAAAGATGAGGAGGGGGAGGACGGATGAACGAACGGATTTCGAGTGTTTCGTTTTCTGTCATTCCTTTTGGCGTTGCGGAGGCCTCCGGGGACCTCTAGGAAGTCTTCCTCGCGAGACCCCAGGAAGCGTTCGGAGGGGAGGACAGGGAGGAGGAGGAGAAGGAGGAGGAGGAGGATAGGGAGGAGGAGGGTCAGGAGGAGGGGAAGAGGAGAGTCTTGAGGGTGGTTCAGTGTGGGCCCACCAAAATCGCCTCCTGCTCCCCCCGCCACTTCTTGCTGCTGCATTGCCCCCTCATTCCCTCTCGTTCCTCCTCCTTCGCACCCCAACCCTTGCGCTTCCACAGTGATCCATCCATACTTGCTCCTTCTCGCATTCCTTCTCTTCTGCTTCCTGATGATCCCCCACTTTATCATGCTCTCACCGGCCCTATCATATCATTATCCTCCTGGTCGTCCTGCTCCTTCTCCTCCTCCTCCCATCGCACGCTCGTCTTCTCCTCCTCCTCCTCCTTCTACACCTCCTTCCACTCCACCGCATCCCTCATTTCATGTATTCGTTGTTCGAGTGTGATGATTCGTAGCTGATTACGCGTGTAAATATGCGCCCGCGTGTCACATGCCGCTTTACTGCTGGTTGGAGTCACTGGCGTGTCGGAGCATGTGCATGTGTGCTCGTGCATGTGTGCTCGTGCATGTGTGTCCGAGGGTCTGGCGGGGTTGGGAGATGAGGCTTTGGACCCCGTGTCGGCGCCACGAGCCAGGCTCAGTCGGCGCAAAGCGAATACCGAAATACAGTTTGAACCATCTGGTCGTGGACATACTGGGCGGACCCACCCTGATCAAACGTGTCATGTTTTTGTTTGCCTGCGCAGCCCGATCTGTGGGACCAGCTGTCCAGTGAAACGCGGATGTGCAGCCGAATGGCGATCGTAACGTCTTGTCCTCAGCGATCCTCTCCCGCGGACTTTTTGATACTAGAGTGGGAACGTACTCTGCTTGCAGCACTGTCCGCTGACCACGGAAATGCTCAGACGGCGTGGTGGCCACGCAACTCGTTGAGTTAAAGGCTTGTCTCCCCCGCTTCGCTTCTGGGGCAGCAGTATCTGAACGGTACTTTAAGAATTTTCGGCGTGCTGGGTTTTATGTCGGAGGGTTGCTAGGCGAGGCTGATTACACGGAGGCGGCGGCTCCCGAGGCAGGGTGCCAGAATACGATGTCCCTACAGGCGGGTCCGGATGGTCAGGCTGCACATTGGCAGGGCTCCAACGCAATCGTCCGCTGAGCCAGGGGCTCCTTGTGAAAGTTTTACCGGTGGCAGTTTGGTTTAAATTATAAAGGCAGCCTTTGGGCCTTTGCTGGTGGCAAAGACTGGATTGGCGAGGCAGGCTGGACCTTGATTTTTGCCATGTACTCCGTCATGTACGGCTCCTCTGGCAAAAGCCTCCATCATCCACATCTGTTGCCGTCGCGCTCGTCGGATCTGATTGCGACCCCCGTCGCATGGAACTTGAAAGTGCATTGTAGGTACGTGGATTGGCGCTCTCGCCAAATGCTGTTCTAGGTTTTTACCTCATCACGACTACCATCACATCTTGTTGTAGACTATCACCTGCGTTCGACGGAAGATTTGAGGTAGTCCCCAGCGGTTGCCTTGATGTGTCCAGCGTTTACTCTTACTCCTCCCTCCTCCACTTCGCCGTCCTGTTGTTTTCCAGCGGCTCTGACGACCCTCGGCCCATCTCGCCACCGTGCCTGGGTTGTGGGTCAGAGTGCTCTCTCTGGGATGCTTCTCGTCTCTTCGGAGCGCTGTGTCGGCCTCTTGGGGCACTTTTATCTGTGGGCCGTCTCGCGGATCTCCTGAGGCACTTGCGGGACTCTCTGGGGTCTGTCTTGGTCTGGATGGGGACTTTCCCGGGGGATTTGTTTTTTTTTGTCGTAGGCCTTGCTTGGCCAGCTTGGATCACTCAGGGGGATGACGCTGCTGTTGATGATGAGGCACTGAAGTTACTCACGTTTCGCGTATGCCCGCCAGCCAATTCAGCAACGCTACCGATGAGGGCTGGCGGGACATGTGGGGAGGTGACATAGATAGTGAATCAGCGCGGGCAGCCATAATGAACTGAGGATGCGGAGGAGGAGGGAGGAGGAGGAGGAGATCAGGTTCGAAACAACAAAAGGAGTAATAGGACAAGGACGAGGAGGACGATACGGGCAAGGACGAGGAGGAGGAGGAGGAGGACGAGGACAAGGAGGAGGAGGAGGAGGAGGAGGAGGAGGGCGAAGGCGAGGACGAGGAGGACAAGGGAGGCGCCACAGGGATAAGAAGATGTGGCATGTAGGGAAGATCGAACCCCAAGCGGGGTACGTTCGAAGACAATTATGGCGGGTATCGAGGGCTTGGGATCTACGTTTCCAGCACGAGAGTGGCTGAAAGCGACAGCCTGTACATGATTGTTGTTGTTGCGGCTGTCGTACGGTGCAATGGATTGTGGTCTCGGGAGCAAGAATTCGGCATTTACTGGCGCGTGTGTCCTCGCGAGCGCGAGCGCGACACAGTCTATCAGGGATTGTGGCCTTCGGATCGCGACAGCGATCCAATTCACCAGAGGCAGTCCTTTCGGGAGGGCGAGCGTTGGGTGATGCACTGTTGACTGCGGTTTCGGGACGGCGAGCCTACTGCAGCGTCGATCGGATTGTGACCTCGGGAGCGCGAGAACGTTGCGACAGGACCTCGAGCTCTACTCCTCCTCTGGCGGGGCCCACCGCCCGTGCAGGCCATCGGCAGGGCGCGGCGGCACGGCCAGAAGCGCGAGACGCTCCACGTCTGGCGCTTCGTCACCGGGGGCACGCTGGAGGAGGCCCCGCCCCGCGGGCCGCCCGCAGCCCCACCGGAGGAGGAGGAGCCGGAGGAGGAGGAGGAGGAGGAGGAGGAGGAGGAGGAGGAGGAGGAGGAGGAGGAGGAGGAGGAGGAGGAGGGGGAGGGGGAGGGGGAGGGGGGAGGAGGAGGAGGAGGAGAGGAGGAGGGGAGGAGGAGGAGGGAGGAGGAAGGAGGAGGAGGAGGAGGAGGAGGGAGGAGGAGAGGAGGAGGAGGAGGGGGAGGGGGAGGGGAGGGGAGGAGAGGAGGAGGGGAGGAGGAGGAGGAGGAGGAGGAGGAGGAGGAGGAGGAGGAGGAGGAGGAGGTGGAGGAGGAGGAGGAGGGGGAGGGGGAGGGGGGGAGGGGGGGGGAGGGGGGAAGGGGGAGGGGGAGGGGCACGCTGGAGGAGGCCCCGCCCCGCGGACGGCCGCCCGCGGCCCCACCCGGCCGGGGCCGGTGGAGGAGGCCTCTCCGCTCGGCCTGGCATCGCTCGGACGTGTGCGCTTGTTCCTCGGCGAGGACCATCGAGGAGCATCCTTGATCATTTGCCGAAAAAGCCACGCACGAAACCGATAAAAAAAAAAAAAACACAGGGAGTGGACGTCCGAGCGATGGCGAGCCGGCTGCGCGCCAGAGTGATTTTTGCTCGCCAGGGGGGCGTGTGTGTGTCGGGCCCACGCCGGAGGGCCTCCAAGCATGGGCCTGCGCGCTCGGAGCTGGCCCACCCGCGCCCCCGAGAGCCGCGGAGCTCAGACTCGCCCTTGACGCGTGCCCATTGTCTAGGGCCACTCTGGCGTGCAGTCGATGCCCCTCCTCCTCCTCCTCCTCCTCCTTCAGAGGCCACGGTAGGGGGGATAGATTCGACGTGCATGGTCGTCGAGCGTTTATTCGCAGCTTCTCGGCGGCCCTGCCGCTTCGGGATGCTCTCCAGCAGCCGCGCCTCGCCGAGAGCGTCCTGGGGGTGCCCGGCTCGTCCCGAGCGGCCGCCCGAGAGCCGAGTGACGACCCGAGAGCTGCGGGACGACGGCGGGGGGGCGGAGAGGCTCCAGGGAAAGGGCGTCGACAAGCAACCGTCTGTGCCTCTGATGGGCCGATTTGCCACCACCACTACCACCGTAGACAGGAGGAGGAGGAGGAGGAGGAGGAGGAGGAGGAGGAGGAGCAGGAGCAGGAACAGGAGCAGGAGCAGGAGCAGGAGCAGGAGCAGGAGCAGGAGCAGGAGGAGGAGGAGGAGGAGGAGGAGGAGGAGGAGGATGAGGAGGAGAGGAGAACGAGGAGGACCACCTCCCCATCCTCGCTTCTCTCCCATGCTACCTATTGTAGTGGTGGTGGAGACTTGGCCCATCACGCAGCGGCGACGGGGGCCTCGAGAGCCCACTGCGCCCAGGCATCGGCCGTTCGCGCCGCGGGGCCGCCCATCTCGTGGCCGCTCTCTCGGCGTCGGGTCGCCGATGCCAGGTCGACTTCCCCATATCGGCGCTGGCAGCTGGGGGCTCGGGATTTCCGCCCACCCTCCTCCCCCCTCCACCCCCCCTCGTCCCCCCCCCCTCCCCCCTCCTTTCCCCCCCCCCCCCTTCCTCCTCCTCCCCCTCCACAATTACTCAATATGAATACTACTCTCCCTCTTCCCCTGATGGCGTGCTGGGAGTAGCCGACCCCCCCCGCGTACTGTTTTTTACACACAGGATTCCCGGGAGTTGGGTTTTCGCCTGCGTTTTTTTTCAAAATGCTGCTCTCGCTGAGGCGCCGGCCTCATTTCTGCTCCCGAATCGTTCCGAATCGTGCTCCCGCTGCAGCGTGGGCCTCATTTTCGGATCGGTGTTTTGCCTCCGTCGTTCAGGATGGCGTTCTCGCCCCAGCGCGGGCCTCTTTCTCGCGCGCCCATCCGCCCGCCACCACCGCGCCGCATCACGCCCCGCCCCGCCGCACGCACACCCACCGCCACTTCCACCCACCAACGCACGCACGCACGCACGCGCACCACCACCGCGCACCGCCACCACCACCGCACTACCCCACCCACCACCACCACGCTACACCGCGTCACACCACATCACACGCGCGCACACACAGACACACACGCACGCACGCACGCGCGCACGCACACACACAGATACACACGCACACACACACACACACACACACACACACACGCACGCACGCACGCACGCACGCACGCACGCACGCACGCACGCACGCACGCACGCACCACGCACACCACACACACACACCACCACCACCGCCATCACGCACGTACGCACCTGGCCACCACCCCACCGACGCCACACCACGTCACACCACAGCACACGCGCACACACGCACACACACACATACACACCCACCACCACAACAACCACAACCACGCACACACGCACGCACGCACGCGCACCACCACCCACTACGCACACGCGCGCGGAGCCACAGGTCCGCTACGACACGCGTCCGCGGATAGAGAAAATCAGCGCCATGGTAAGGGATGGGAGGGAGGGGTAGGATGTCAGATGTTGACGCGAGCGCACCTAACTTGTCCCTCCCCCCTCCCCCCTCCCCCCTCCTCCCTCCTCCCTCCTCCCTTGCAGGGTCGCCTGGGTGCCGACTGCGCTCTGGGGCATCGGGCACACAGGCGAGGGCTGGCGCCGCGCCGCGGGCGGCGACTGCGCAGTCCCGCGAGCGCAGCCCGCCCCCCCCCCTGGGGGCGACGCACCCGGCGATAGGGGGGTGGTGGCAGCCTCGCGGGGGCGGTCGCTACTGGGCGCGCGCTGCGTTTTTGCCAGGTCGACTTCCCCCCAGCGTCAGTCCTCCCCCGCACTGCGGGCCGGCAGGAACACGCTTCCGGGACGCGCTGCCACTTGAGGCAGGGCCTTGCGACGACGTTTGCCCCCGCATCTGGGGGAGGACGCTGGCCTGCCCTTGGTTGCCGGCTTCCGATCTGAAGCCCAGAGCAGGCCGGGCCCACGTCCCCGAATGGGCGTACCCGAAAGTCGTTTCGTTTGTGTGCCATCTTCTTTTTCCCAACCCTCCTGCGTTGGGTACTCGTTTTGAATAGAGCACTGCGGTCTCCACCTTCCTTCCTTCCCGCCCCCCCCCCTCTCTTCCCTCCTCCTCTCCTCTCTTGCTTGCCTTCTCCTCCTCTCTTCTCTTCTCTTGCCTTTTACGTCATCTCTGGGGGGCTGCGATCTGCGGAACTGTCACCACTTTCGAGGGCTGCTGGTGGGTCCAGCGGAGTGAGGCACCACGGGGATTCAGATTAGACCTCGCCATCCCTGGGGGGGGGGGCTGCGATCTGTGAAACTGTCGCCACTTTCGAGGGCTGCTGGGGGGGCCAGCGGAAGACCTCGCCATCTCTGGGGCTGCGATCTGTGAAACTGTCGCCACTTTCGAGGGCTGCTGGTGGGTCCAGCGGAGTGAGGCACCACGGGGATTCAGATTAGACCTCGCCATCTCTGGGGGGCTGCGATCTGTGAAACTGTCGCCACTTTCGAGGGCTGCTGGTGGGTCCAGCGGAGTGAGGCACCACGGGGATTCAGATTAGACCTCGCCATCCGTGGGGGGCTGCGATCTGTGAAACTGTCGCCACTTTCGAGGGCTGCTGGTGGGTCCAGCGGAGTGGGCACCACGGGGATTCAGATTAGACCTCGCCATCCCTGGGGGGCATCTGCGCCACGGGCTGACTTTGACCTCGCCATCCCTGGGGGGCTGCGATCTGCTGGGAGGTGCTGGTGGGCACCACGGGGATGACCTCGCCAGGCTGCGATCTGTGAAACTGTCGCCACTTTCGAGGGCTGCTGGTGGGTCCAGCGGAGTGAGGCACCACGGGGACTCAGATTAGACCTCGCCATCTCTGGGGGGCTGCGATCTGTGAAACTGTCGCCACTTTCGAGGGCTGCTGGGGTGGCCAGCGGAGTGACGCCCTACGGGGACTCAGATTAGACCTCGCCACCCCTGGGGGGCTGCGATCAGCGAAACAGTCGCCACTTTCGAGGGCTGCTGGGGTGGCCAGCGGAGTGACGCCCCACGGGGACTCATACTAGACCTCGCCATCTCTGGGGGGCTGCGATCTGTGAAACTGTCGCCACTTTCGAGGGGTGCTGGGGTGGCCAGCGGAGTGACGTCATACGGGGATTCAGATTAGACTTCGCCATCCCTGGAGGGCTGCGATCTGTGAAAATGTGTCATTTCCCGCGGGCCGCCCGCAGACCTGGCGGCGCGCCTGCGAACGTTCAGCTCCCGCACTAAATGTGCAGGGATGAGGCGGAGAAGCTAGCGGGCGAGCTAAGTCTCGCTCGCTTCTTGCACTTACTATAAGCAGGTTTGAGCCTGTGGAACGCTGCGACGACATGGCGCAGGCAGCGCTCAGTGTTTAGCGTGTACCTGAAAACGCGGCGCTTTTCTGTCTCCCCCCGCCACCTTCATTGTCGTCCTATTCCCCGCTTCGCCTGCTCCATGCATGCTGCTGCTGCCGCGATGGCCTTTCGCCCCCCCATTCCATCCTCCTCCTGCCCCTCGTTCCCGTCCCCGTTCTTCTTCGAGCCTGGGGCCTGGATCCTCGTTCTTTCGATCGTCGTCCTGTGAGTCGTGCAACGCATGCGCGTCCCATGTAGATTGCGTAACAAATCACCGTGTCTACATTGTCGTTGATCCTGCCAATGTTGGCCTACTCCTCTTGCCACTTGATGCACATGGGTTGGGTACGTCGCAGGGTAATGTTGCCAAGACGTGCGCGAAGAGTGTGCGCGAAGAGATTGTCCGGATTGCGGTGCGTACCTCCGTGCTCAGACACCACGCGCAGCTGTGATATTGGAAAACAACAGCGCTAAGATGCGTCTTTGCCTCCAGGGCCCTCCGCTGAGACCCTTGTGACCCCGCGGGCTTGTGCCGTTGACCCGAGGGACTTGCGTCGTGGGTTCGAGGGTTCATGTCGTTGGTCTCGGGGCCGTATGCCCATACCCGATCGGGTTCACGTGCGCCCTTCCCGACGCGGCCGCCGTCGGTCGGTCCATCTTG